CAGGCAATCCAGACTTAATACAGAAAACAAGGATGCAGAAATGCTTACAGGCAATGAACCACAGTCCGACCATCTCGCCCATCATATTGCTCCTGCCACTTTTCCAACCGCCTGACCACTTTCAGGAGAGAGCGCTTAGAAGGAGGAGTGTCTCTATATGCTGGCCAGCCAATATACTGCAAGTGTTGAACAATACGGTACCCATCTTGCGGCTAAAGAAAATAATGCAGATTGCTTGAATCATGAAAAGGAAGGTATGGATGCTTCTATATACCCACATAAGATCATGTGTTGTGTTCTAAGAACTTTGAAAGAAGATTTCTCATTCATTTTGGCTGCAGGAATTGGGGAATATTTTCAGAAGTGTTTATCCCAGGTGGCCTTTTAATGAGCATACATACTAGAACATTCTTCAGTTATAATAGAAAAATTAAGGAAACACTTTTCCTGCTTCAGAGTGGAAACCAATGATGCCATGTTAAGAAAGCCTTTTGTAAGCATCATTGGGAAATATACCACATAGACTTAGTTACTAGTAATAGAAGCTGTAAGTTCTTTCTTGAATGTGATGAGCAAATTTGGGGACGATATCAGCTCTAGAATAAAAAACTAAATTCTATTCTTTTAAAAATGGAAAGAAAAATCATTTTTAATTAACAGACAATAATGGTATTCAGTTAATTACTTCAAAAGATTGAATATCCAGGGCATATTTAGCATTAACACGGCAATTATTTTCTAAAAGCATTATAAAGAAAATTGTAGCTGATAAATAGTCTGACTCTTCTGTCTTCCTTTGCAGGCACAATTATACATACAAATAATAGGTTAAAGGGGATATTTTATACCATATCTGTTGTTAGAGAAATTGTTTCCATCGTCAATGCTTTGTAGCAGAGAAAAGAGTTAAGTTTGATATATAGACAGGGTGATGAAAGAGGGACTGCCAAATGGGAAAAGTTGAAACCATGTTAATCTTTATCTTTTGTTCATACAGGTAGTCCTCAACTTATAACAGTTCATTTAGCGATGGTTCAAAGTTACAATGGCACTGAAAACAGTGATTTATTACTGTTTTTCACAGTTATGACCTTTGCAGTATTCCCATGACCATGTGATCAAAATTCAGACGCTTGGCAACTGGTTCATATTTATCACCATTGCAGTGTCCCAGGGTCATGTGATCACTTTTTGTGACCTTCTGACAAGCAAAGTCAATGGGGTAGCCAGATTCACTTAACAACCTGATTAGTAACGTATCAACTACAGTGATAAATTAACTTAACAACTGTGGCAAGAAATGTTGTAAAATGGGACAAAACTCACTTAAGAAATGTCTCACTTAACAATAGAAATTTTGGGTTCAATTGTAGTCATAAGTCGAGGAATACCTGTATTAGCTGACTGCCCATATTAGAGGAAGCTATGAACAATAACCGATTTATACTAAAATTTATAATTATATATTCTTGAATATATAATCCTAGATTGGGCATTTCTTTGATGTTTCTCATGCAAAACCTGGATTCATATCTGTCTTCCTGTTCTAGTCTATTAGATGCTTCCAAAATTCAAGTTCAAGGATAAATAGAGAGTAGCTAGGAGAGATAAGATATAGCTTATAAAAAAAACAAGGCAGGAATTAGGAAATAAGCCCCACTTATAGAAATATTTGCCAATACTGCAAATTGATGGGGGTCTAAAACTATACAAGCAAGATAATAAGCAAAGAGCGGAGATCATTCTAACATCTTGTAGAATGATAAAGAGTAAATTAACTAATAAAGAACAAACAGAATGGAACAAAAGAACTATTTTGTCTTCATTTCCTATAACTGACCCTTTCAATAAATCTAACCTATCTGAAGATCTATGTTCAAAAGAGACAGGCAGACAGGCCGAAGAACAGTAACAACATGATCATCCCACCTATATTATCCCAAGGCATCCCGATATAATATAATATTATATTATCCCAAGGCATCCTAATTAATAACTGCAGACTGAATATAGATAGAAAATTATTTGACTTCTATTTACCCTTGCCATGTTGCAGATCCGAAATATCCGATTAATAATATCCTCATCTATGTCAGCAGAGACAAATTCCACTTGGATTGGCCCATAACAGCAAGATGTCTTCTCTGGCCAGTACTGCATACAAAGCTGATCATAACAAAAGGAAAACAAACATAAATCAGGAGGGAAAAGGGAGAAATGCAAAACACCCACTTTCACACAAAATCTTAGAATTTCATTTATATTAAAGCAGGGCTTTTTTTTTTCATAGAACGCCCAGAACGGAGTTCCGGCACCTTTTT